AAAGTTCCTTAAACTTCTTATTTCTCAGTTACCTTATCTGTGAAAATAGGAATGATACTACCTCACCTCACAAAGTTGTATTTACAGGATCAGATTTTAAAATGTTGACCAAGTGTTTAGTATCTATCTGGCTCATAACAATATTCATTAAGCTGTGTTTTTAAAACAAATCTGGAAAGAACTTTTGCGATCACAAAGTATAAACCCTTTTATTTTTCTTTTCTGTGTGTGTGTGTGTGTGTCCCTACCCCTCCCTGCACCAACTCCTGTTACTTTTCAAAAAGAGAAATGGATCCCCAGCAGCTAAGGATCTCGCCCACAGTCACTGAATTAGCATGCCTGTGATGAACATTCCCAAAGCTTTTATGAGATCTATGGTCTGGGATAGGTATCTTTCTGATCTGTTCTCCTACTTACTAAATATATGAAATATTAAACTTCATAATCACAAAGTTTCTGTATCCATCGAAAAATGCCAAAGATTGAATTGCTATTTATTGAGCGCCAATGTTCAGAGAATGTTGCAACCTACTGTGGATACTATAACATGCATGTAAGAATTTGTCTCTTGTCTCAAGAGTGCTTACAGTTTAGTTGGAGAGACATTTATATAGATATTTATGAGACATAAATACCACTTGACATGGCAGAAGTTCAAATGTCAAAAGGATAATACATGAACAGCAACGTATGCCACAAGGTCCTGCAGAGGGTGAGATCCATTTGGCTTGAAGTGTTAGTGATCAGGCTTCAAAGAGAAAGTAGGAGTTTTATCTGTGTGCTAAGGCTGAGTTGGATTTGAATACAGAGAGAGAAGGGAAGACATCATGTGCCTTGAACTAGTGCAAAAGTACAGAGGCAAAGATGGTCACCATTAAGTGTCCCACAATTTAGTACTGAAAATTGCAGAGATTAGTGAATGAATTTATGAAAGGAAATAATTCTGAGTCTGTCAATACAGTCATGCATTGCTTAACGATGGAGATACATTCTGAGAAACAAATCCATAGGTGATTTTGTCATTGTGTGAACATCACAGAGTATTTAGACAGACCTAGATAGTATAGCCTACTACACACCTAGGCTGTATAGTATAGCTGTGAAAGGAAAATAAAATCTTGGAACACTAAACTCACTATGCCAAAGGGAAAAGTTAAGCTTGGGAAATGAGTCATGCAAAAACTGCCTTCCTTTTGCTCCAAAACAGATAGCTGCAGCACAGGGGCCTCATATCTCCCCATGTGACCTCCCTCACAGATTGCACACAGGGAAATTCTTTGTGGGCCCAAGTCTCTACCCTAAAACAGAGTTCTGTGGAATCACATCCTGATAATGTAGATGAACAGTTTATCTTCACAGGTACTGGACAAAGACAGGATTAGAAATCATCCCTCTGCTCACCCTGAGACAAATGCATGTTTGACTTCTGATATGGTCTGGCTGTGTCCCCACCCAAATTTCATCTTGAATTCCTACCTGTTCTGGGAAGGACCCTGTAGGAGGTAATTGAATCATGGGGGCAGGTCTTTCCCATGCTGCTCTCGTGATGGCAAATAAGTCTCATGAGATCTGACAGTTTTAGAAGAGGGAGTTACCCTGCAAAATCTCCTTTATATGCCTGCTGCCATCCATGTAAGACATGACTTGCTCCTCTTTGCCTTCTGCCATGGTTGTGAGACTTTCCCCAGCCATTGTAGAACTGTAAGTTCATTAAACTCTTTTTCCTGTATAAATTACCCAGTCTCAGGTATGTCTTTATCAGCCGTGTAAAAACGGACTAATACAACTTCTTTCTCTACTCCATGTTTATACTATGTAAAATGCAGATTTACTTTGTGAGAGGAATATATAATTGACTGTTCCTCTTTCCTCACCTGCCTGCTCTTTTCCCTTTAAAAACTGAAGTCCTCAAGACTCTTCGGAAAAAACATAGTCCACATATTCTAGTGTAATTTGTGTCTCTTTTTCCTGGTGTGTCCTCAATCTGAGCAAAATAAGCCTCTAAATTGATGAGATTTGTCTCAGACACTTTTTGGTTTACATAGCCTATTGCTCCTAGGCTACAAAGCTGTACAGCATGTTACTGTACTGAATACTATAGGCAATTGTAACACAGTTGTGTTTGCGTCTCTAAACATATCTAGACATAGAAAAGGTAACACATCGTGCTACAACCTTACAATGACTATGATGTCACTAGAAAATTTTCAGCTGCATCATAATCTTATGGAATCATCATCATGTATGGAGTCTGTTGTTTCATTTGCAAAGGAGTTGTGTTATTTTGGTGGGGGGTAATTTTGAAACAAATATCTTCCTTTGTTTTGGGGGGTTTTTGGTATTGTTTTGTTTTGTTTTGTCTTGTTTTGAGTCAGGGTCTCACTCTGTCATCCAGGCTGGTATGCTGTGGTGCTATCATAGCTCACTGAAGCCTCGACTTCCTGACCCCAGGAGATTCTCCCGCCCTGTCCTTCCGAAGTGTTGGGATTACAGGCATGAGCCACTGTGCCAGCTGAAATCCCTTTCTTTGAAGCACATTAGAGAATGAAAAAGAAAAGAGAGAAAAAAATAAGAGAAAGAATAAAAAGAAATTGCTGTGTTCTGAGTCATGTCCCTCCTGGTAAATAAAATTTATGGGAGGCCATTATTTTGGACTGAGGTCCCATAGTAGGAAACAATAGACCAAACCACATAATCAAGCTAAAACTTTAAGGAAGCAGATAAATCCCCAAATACACCAGTTTTTCTTGAAAACAAGAGGTTCACTCACAGCCATCACTTGGAAAAGACCCAGTCAACTTGAGTCACCCTAATAAGGAAGTCCCTTCTGCTTTAAACCTTATAAGAAAAGTAACCTGAAGTAACCTGATGTTAACCATTCTGCTTTTTTCTATATTTGTTTCCTTGTTCTCATATAAAAACTGCTGCAGTAAGCGCTGATCATGCCACCATACTCAAGCCTGGACAAGAGTGAGACCCTGTTTCAAAAAAAGCAAAAAACAAAAAAGTAACTGTTTTGCTAAACCCAGTAGAGCACTCACTATTTTATAGAATAAAATGCTGTCTGATTCTAGAATCCCAAATAAAAGCCAGTTTGATCTTTAAATTTGTTGTAATTTTGTCTTTTAACACTGTTAAAATTCATATATTGAAGCCTAAAACCCACCCCTTCTCTCTCTCCTCACCACCCTGTGTATGCACAAAGAAGAGGTCATTTGAGCATCCACCTGCAAGCAAAGAGAAGAGGCTTCAGAATAAAACCTTCCTTGCTGGCACCCTGATCTTTCCAGTCTCCAGAACTGTGAGAAGTATATTTCCATTGCTTAAGCTACACAGTCTATGGTACTTTGTTATGGCAGCCCGAGCTGACTAAGACAAATACTATTTTGAGAAAGCGACTTATCACTGGGTGCGGTGGCTCACACCTGTAATCCCAGCACTTTGGGAGGTGGAGGCAGGCAGATGCTTGAGATCCCAGCCTGGCCAATATGGTGAAACCCCACCTCTACTAAAAATACAAAAAATTAGCTGGGCGTGGTGGTGTGTGCCTGTAGTCCTAGCTACTTGGGAGGTTGAGGCAGGATAGTTACTTGAGCCCAGGAGGCAGAGGTTGCAGTAAGCTGAGATCATGTCACTGCACTCCAGCCTGGACAACAAAGCAAGACTCCATCTCAAAAAAAAAAAAAAAAAAAGAAAGAAAGAAAGAAAAAGAAAAGAAAAAAGAAAATGACTTAGTGATTTACTTTTTATGAGCTGCTTGGGGAAGTTGATGGGAGATTGGTCACTAACTTCTATCAACAGCTAAGCTCATCAGCCTTATATCTGGACAGAACAAAATTTCTGTCTCAGCTAAATAATGCATTTCTGTATGGCAAAGGGATTGATCTATAATTTAAAGGGCAATAGTACCATGGTACATCCTCTCTGCCCCGTGACTGCTATGCTCCTTTGTCAAGGAACTCTCTCTGAGGATGGGAGAAAAGGGTTCTTGCCTGGTTGTTTTGCATCACCTACCACTTTTCTGGCCAACTGATGATTGTAGGGCATTCATTTTATTTAGATTTCCTTTATTTCTTTCATCTCTCCTCTCATAATCAAAGAACATTAAGTGCTTGCTCAGGTGTTTTAGACTCTTGTCCAAGGATCTTGCCCAAGGTTACTGTATTAGTCTGGTTTCACACTGCTACAAAGAAATACTTGAGACTGAGTAATTTATAAGGAAAAAAAGAGGTTTAATTGACTTGCAGTTTCACATGGCTAGGGGGGCCTCAGGAAACTTACAATCATGGCAGAAAGTGAAGGGGAAGCAAGCACCTTCTTCAGAAAGTGGAACTAAAGAGAAGAATGAAGGAGGAACTACCAAACACTTATAAAACCACGAGATCTCATGAGAACTCACTCACTATCACGAGAACAGCATGGGGGCAACTGACTCCACTGTCCAATCACCTCCCTCCCTCAATACAAGGGGATTACAGGTCCCTTCCTTGACACGTGGGGATTACAAATCAAGATGAGATTTGGGTGGGGACACAGAGCCAAACTATACCAGTCACTGAACCACCACATTTGTGATGTACATTCCTAAAACTTTTCTTAGTTCTATGATCTGGACAAAGTACCTGTACTACCTCTTTGTGACCTGATCAATAGTTTAGTCAAGTTCAATAATACTGATACACAATACAAGCTTCGTTTACTGAGAAATTTTTTGCCTGGAAATGTGCTAAACCTTTTATAGGCATCATCTCATTTAATCCTGCTTTGTAAACAGGTGAAATGGTGATAATCTACATTATAGGCTTAGAGAAGCTAAGTATCAAGCCCAAGTTCACACTGTTGTAAGATGAACTTGGGTTTCGAACTGAAGTCTGACTGGTAAATGCCAAGGCAATATCAATATGGATATGCTAAGAATAATGAATCAGAATCAGGCACAGTTTTTAAAACATCAAATAATGTATGTAATTACTTAAAATTTTAAATTGTTATGCAATAATTTGACTTTTTTTTTTTTTTTTTTTTTTAAGGCTAGCACATTAAGTATACCTCCCATTACAACTAGTTCAAGTATATGAGATTCCATTTCTGGTCCATATTACTCATTTTGCTTTCCTGGGTTCTGATCATCTTTTGTATTTTCATGTTTCCTATTTGTATTTGTTTGGCAGCTTTTCTCTCCTTTACAAAATTGGGTAGTCATGCTTCTCCAGTAACCTTGGTGAGTCAGTTCAACCTCTAATTACTTGAGTCTCCTTCCCTGCAAGAAAAGCAGTCAAACTACACGAACTCTCTATTGTTTTGCATCATTTCACAAGCACACAGGAATAAGGAGGGAAATAATTCTCCCAATGAAGCAGAACCACCGGTAACAGCTGGCAAAACTTCTAAAGACTCAGTCTGTCTTGAAAAACAACCTCAAATTGTCCCTAAATAATAATTACCCCACCTGTAGCAGGACTATCTCACTGACTAGCTGCACTTGATGACACAATACCTGCTATTAACTCTCAGCATGGATATAAACACTGCCATAATACTTTTTAAAACCAACAATGTATCATTTGCACATCAGGACCACAGAATGTTAGTTAAGGCATAGAAAACACAAAAGGAATGGCTACCCTGTTCTTTGGTGACTCCATATCTAATTATTACCAAATACGTCTCCAGTCTTTAGACAAATTTAATTATTATAAAGGTGGTTGGACAAATAGCAAAGATTTGCTTTTCATTAACAAAGGGCACATCAAAACCGAGTTTATCCTTCCCAGTTACCCAACATTCAAAGCTTCTACTGCAGCCACTTTCTAGTCATTTTAGACCCCAGAGCAGTGTGACGATTTGATGCATAAGTTTCAACACGTTTTATTAATCTATTCTTCTTGTGCTTCATTTAAAATATTGGAAACTATAAAAAGATCAGCGTGTTAATCCTCTGCCAGGAAACAGGGGGAAAAAAAGTAAAAACCTAACAACAACACGAAAAAAGCAAGAGCGCTGGAATCTCAGCTTTGAGGAAACACATGGGATGAAAGCATCCGCCCAAGCGCTAACCATTTGTCACATGGGACACTTCCCCTCGGGGTGAATCCTGGATGTCCCCAGGATGGAGCGAGGAGGTCGTGCGTGCGGGTGAGTGTGTGACTGCAGGGGGCCTTGGTGGCGCGAGGAGGCGACGCCGCCCCCTCCCTCAGGCGCAGGGAGGGTCTTCCAGGAAGCGGCGGACCTCGGCTGACTCCGCGGCTGCGGGTCCCGGGCTGCGGCCGCCTAGGCCGGCACGTAGCGCCGAGCGTGACTCAGCGCTGACTCATCGGACTCGCTGCCAGTGGATTTCCCCAGTCAGCTGCTCGCGCTCCTCCTGTCGCCGGGAGCTCGCAGGACTTCGCAGATACCGCTGCCTCCTTAGTCTTTCCTGCACAGCAGAGCAGTCCTGTCGCTTTAAACAGACCTAGCCAGCTTTCACTGCTTTTGAATCCCTACCGAGCGGGGCACTGCCGTGCTCTGTTTTCTTTGCCTGTAAGAGTGCAATAGTCCACTAATCAAATTCTTTCATCAAAAGCGTGTTGGGACAAATCCCTGACATCGTCCTTCCACTGTGACTTCGAGGTGACCTCCACCCAGGTTTCACTTCCGTTGTGCCCAGCTCTCGTCTTATTTTTGTCCCTCGTTTTGTGAATTTATCCTCTCACCACGCTTGATAACTAACGTTGGCGCTAACCCACAATTGTGGTGACGCAAATCAGGTTGAAACTTGGCATCGTCGTGTGCAGGCAGTGAGGGACTTACTGTAAAAACTGAGGCCTTCATAAAGGCGTTCTTATCTGCCATCCCACTTGCTGATTAGATACCATGCTCATTTTCTGTCAGCCACTCCCCTTTGAAAGTTCCTGAGAAAGATTCAGATGAAACCTGAATTCAGGAGCTGTCGTGCTCATTTGTTCTTCCCCAGAGTTCAATCTGCAACGCGGCAGTAGGGCAGCATTTCTCCAACTTTACCATGGACCGCCTGCATCAAAGCGCCGCGGTAAAAATGCAGATTCTTGAAGCTCACCTCAAATTACAGACTCGGAATGTTCTGGCGGGGTGGAGGCATGGAGGCACCTGTCTGAGGGCGGGGCCTAGAAATAATCCATCGTGTTAACCAACTACCTGTCAGTGATTCTTAGGTATATTTAGGTTTGAAGACTACTAGCAAGAGGGGGAGGGTGTGAGACATTATACTGGGTAGACTCTAGGACTCCTTACAATATAGAACACTGTGTTCTAAAATTGATGTTTAAGTTTTGATGGAAGGAAAAAATATTTCCAAATTTTGGTTTTATATATTATATTGTTTGCTTTAACTGTATATTAATATAGACAAATTTTCTTTCTTTCTTTTTTTTTTTTTTTCTTTAAAGACACAGAGGGTCTTTCTGCGTTGCCCAGGCTGGCCTCGAAATCCTGAGCTCAAGGAACCCTTCCACCTCAGCCTCTCCAGTAGTTAGGACTACAAGCGTGCACCACCACTTGGCTCTTTCTTTTTCTCTTTCTTCCTTTTTTTTTTTTTAATTTACTTATTTTGAGACATGGTCTCTCTCGCCCAGGCTAAAGTGAAGCGGTGGGATCTCGGCTCACTTCAGCCTCACCCTCCCCAGGATCAGGTGATAGTCCCACCTCAGCCTCCTCAGTGGCTGTGGTTACAGGTGTGTGCCACCATGCCTGAATAATTTTTGTAGTTTTTTAAGAGACAGGGTTTCACCATGTTGCCCAGGCTGGTCTCGAACTCCTGGGCTCAAAAGATCCACCTGCCTCTGCCTCCCAAGGTGCTGGGATTACAAGGGTACACCACCACACCTGGCCAGCTCTTTTTTTTTTTTTTTAATTAGAACTTTGTTTATAAAATAAAATCAAGTTTCTATAAATTTTCTGTATTTCAGAGTAATATTTCTTCAGTCTGACTTTGTGTCAGAATTACCCAAAGAGTTATACAAAAACTCTAATTCCTTGACCAGCCCTCAGGCTTGAAGACACTATCTCTGAAGGTAAAGCCCCCCAAATAGGCTTTTTTTTTTTTTTTTTTTTGTCGACATGGTCTTACCCTGCTGCTCAGGCTAAAGTGCAGTGGCGTGATCACTGCTTGCTGCAGCCCCAACCTCCCAGGGGTCAGGTGATCCTCCCACCTCAGCCTCCCAAGTAGCCAGGGCTACAGGCGCGTGCCACGCCTGGCTAATTTTTGTATTTCTTATAGAAATGGGGTTTTTCCAGGTTCCCCAGGCTGGTCTCAAATTTCTGAGCTCAAGTGATCCGCCCACCTAGGCCTCTCAAAGTACTGGAATTACAGGCATGAGCCACGACACTCAGCCAAAAATAGGCATTTTGAAATGCTTTCAAAGTTAGTCTTTGAACTTTTTCAAAGTCACCACTATTCCCAAGTAGTAACATCAGTAACTCCAGGGTAGTTGGCCTATATTGTTCCATTGTGGTGCTCATTCATCTCTCCGTCTACAGTGTTTCATTTTGAAATCACCATTTTAAAAATAAAATTATGCTAAAAAGGAATCTGATGAGATAAAAGGAAAAAGATAAAAATTAAAAGTGACCACATAAAATATCAGCTCACTATTATATTCATAAATTCACTTATTTAGAAAACAAGGTTGAAATATTTGTATTCTAAATCTTTTGTGTAGGTGGGGAGAGTGGGTTGATTGGACAATAATCTTCAAGTCTATTTTGAAATTTTTAGATCAGGTGTGGTGGCTCATGTCCGCAATCCCAACACTTTGCAAGGCCAAGGCGGGAGGCAGGATTGCTTGAGCCCAGGTGTTCAAGACCAGCCTGGGCAACATAGCAAGACACTGTCTCTAAAAGAAAGAAAAAAAAGTAATTGTTTTCCCCTTGGATATTTTGTTTACTTCTTTTCTTTTCCTTCCCTCCTTCTCCTCCTCCCCTCCTCCTCCTCCTCTTCCTCCTCCTCCTCCTCCTTCTTCTTTCTTCTTTAGGGGAGAGGCACAAGACACAAGTTCCATGAATACTTATTTTCTTTTCATTTCACTGGGTTTTTCCATTCAATCTCTGTTAGCATTGTGGCAAAAAGCCAAAAAGCCTAGCTCTGAAACATGCCTTACAAAGACATCTCCTTGCTGACCTTTTTTTTTTCACTCTGTTGCCCAGGCTGGAGTGCAGTTGTGTGATTTCAGCTCACTGTAACCTCCACCTCCCAGGTTTAAGTGATTCTCTTGTCTCAGCCTCCAGAGTAACTGGAATTACAGGCGCACACGCCACCACGCCCAGCTAATTTTTATATATTTACTTCTTTATTTTTGAGATGGAGTCTCGCTTTGTTGACCAGGCTGGAGTGCAGTGGTGTGATCTCGGCTCACCACAACCTCTGCCTCCTGGATTCAAGAGATTCTCTTCCCTCAACCTCCTGAGTAGCTGGGACTACAGGCACACACCACCAAGCCCTGCTAATTTTTGTCTTTTTAGTAGAGACAGGGTTTCACTATGTTGGCCAGGCTGGTATTGAACTCCTGACCTCGTGATCTGCCCACCTCAGCTTCCCAAAGTGCTGGGATGACAGGCATGAGCCACCATGCCCGGCCAACGCCCAGCTAATTTTTAGAATTTAATCTAGTTTTATTTATTTATTTTGACAGAGTCTCACTCTGTCACCCAGGCTGGAGTGCAGTGGTACGATCTCAGCTCACTGCAACCTCTGCCTTCCTTCCCGGATTCAAGTGATTCTCCTGCCTCAGCCTCCCAAGTAGCTGGGATGCCCAGCTAGTTTTTGTATTTTTAGTAGAGTAAGGATTTCATCATGTTCACCAGACTTGTCTCAAACTCCTGACCTCAAGTGATCCACCCGCCTTGGCCTCCCAAAGTGCTGGGATTATAGGCGTGAGCTCCCACACTGGGCCTGGCTTTTTTATAGCCTTGATTCTCCAAGCCTGGTCCTTGGTCCAGCCGCATGGGCATCACTGGGGAACAGACTCTCAGACCCCATCCATAACTACTGAATCAGCATCTGCGTGTTAGCAAGATCCCCCAGGTGATGTGTGTGAAAATTCAGGAACCACTGTCTTACAGTAATTGTAAGAGTTACAATCTAAGGCTGGTGGAGGAGGAAAGAAGAAGAAATAAGTCTGGTTGTGGAGGGGACATGTATTAGTTTCCTAGGGCTGCTATAACAAAATACCCCACAAACTGGGTGATTAAAACAATAGAAATTTATTCTCTCACAGTTCTGGAAACCAGAAGTCCAAAGTGAAGGAGTCGGCAGAGCCATGTTCCTTCTGAAACTCTGGGTAGAATCCTTCCTTGTATCTTGCTAGCTTCCAGAGGTGACCATGGATACTTGCAGTTCCTGGGTTTGTAGCTGTATTACTTCAGTCTTTGCTCCTGTGGTCACATGGCATTTTCCCTGAGTGTCTGTCTTTTATGTTGTCTTCTTATGTTGGATTAGGGCCCAGTGAATACGTTGTAAATTGATTATACCTGCAAAGGTTCTATTTTCAAATAAGGTCACCTGAACAGGTACTGGGGTATAGGATTTCAATAAATTATTTTGGGGGACACGATTTATCCCATAATAGGGAGATGTGGAGATTTTATTATCAATAAGTGGAAATGCATTATGTGAAAAAAAAAAAAATTAAAAAATAAGCATTATTTTAAAATAACCTGATCGTATTTTATTTTTAAATTTTATTTATTTATTTATTTTTGAGACAGAGTCTCACTCTGTTGCCCAGGCTGGAGTGCAGTGGCACAATCTCGACTCACTGCAACCTCTGCCTCCTGAGTTCCAGTGATTCTCCTGCTTCACCTTCCCAGATAGCTAGGATTACAGGTGCATGCCACCGTGCCTGGCTAATTTTTTTTTTCTTTTTTTGTATTTTTAGTAAAGACGGGATTTCACCATGTTTGCCAGGCTGATCTCGAACTCCTGACCTCAAGTGATCCATCTGCTTCAGCCTCCCAAAGTGCCGGGATTACAGGTGTGATCCATTGTGCCTGGCCTCAAGGACAATTTAGCATCTCTTATAACATGATGCTGAGTTGAAAGAAAGAACTCAGTAGTTATTAATAATAATAGTCAAAGCTATGGCATACCTCTGGACAAACATACAAAATCGCACATGTTTAAATATGTATGGTACAAGGCAAGACAAACTTCTACCACAAAGGATTAGTTTGACCATAGAAAGTAAGCTCTAAAAAAAAAGGGAAAAAGCCGGGCATGGTGGCTCATGCCTGTAATCCCAGCTACTCGGGAGGCTGAGGCAGGGGGAATTGCTTGAACCCAGGAGGCGGAGTTTGCAGTGAGCTGAGATTGCGCCACTGCACTCCAGCCTGAATGACAGAACAAGACTCTTTCTCAAGAAAAGGAAGAAAAAGTGAAAAAAATAATTATAGCTAAAATTATAATCACATTAACAGAGAAACTGAAAATATCGTAGGACCAGAGCGAGAAAGAGAAGGGAATCCTTATAATCCCGGGAAAGGATAAGAGTAGGACCAGAGGGGCAGCTTCAAGGTAATAATGTATTTTTAAAAGCCCTTGACAGTTTGTAGTAGGAATCTCTTTTTGTCTGCCCTGCATTAATTCTCCCTCTTTCCTTTGAGAAGCCTCAAGTCATCCTGGCCAACATTTCTATGTAGGACTCTCAGCCACAGTGCTTGCCTTCTCCTTGTCCCTTCCCCCAAGGTTGAAACACAGGGCTATTTATGTCCTAGGCATCTAAATATGGAGTATAGTCTCAAAAATGAAGAAGGTGTTTGAAGCTGAGTCATTTTAGTGGTAGTGATCAGAGACACAAACCAGATATTTTGTTTGTTTTACCACTGAGAATCTGAGAGCAACCCTAATTGCTATCCTCCACAAGTCCCCGTTGTTTTTTTGTTTTGGTTCTTTTTTTTTTAGACAGAGTCTTACTCTGTCACCCAGGGTAGAGTGACAACCTCTGCCTCTAGGGTTCGAGTGATTCTCCTGCCTCAGCCTCCCAAGTAGCTGAGACCACAGGTGCCCGCCACCATGCCCGGTTAAGTTTGCCAGGCTGGTCTCGAACTCCTGAGATCTGATGATCTGCCCACCTAGTCCCCATTGTTTAGCTATTTTCTTTTGTTTGAAATGCTACCTAGTATCTTTCCAAATGTTATTTTATTAAAAAAATTAAGTGTCAATGTTTAATTTGTATATTGTTATTTTTAGTTAGTTATAATTTATTTTAAATTATTTTTAATGGGCCCAGAGCTAGCCTCAGTTGATTTCTGTTGCTTACAAAGAAACCTAAGCAACAAAGATACTGGTGGAGAGAATACATACTGCTCCCACGCTAAGACACCTGAA